TTAATAATAGCTCCATCCCTTTCACTTTAATATCCTTTTACATCTCTGATAAGAGGTCCTTTCTTTTTGACACATGCCCCATTTATATTTCTAATATAATTATACTCTTTTGCCTTTTGAAAAGTGCCCCTTTCCATAAATGCCCCCTTTCAGCCCTGGTAAATGCCCATTTTCATTATCATAACTGCCCTTTTTGCATCGTTGTTGTTCTCTGGAATCAGAGAATAATACTTATTGAGGTCTATAGTAGCACAATTAGTAATAATAGCTACAATTACAACTACGACTCTGTAGAATCGTCTTTTTTCTGGTAGGTGAATTCTTGTGGCATGCACTCGATGAAAGGAAAGCAAATCACAACATACACATACAAACCTAGTTTCTCATCCATTTATTTTTTGGTCGCACATACAAATGCTATTGGGCATTGCTGCATATTAACTTGTGCTTACAGTCGTCTACGGCAAAACATTTCGGGTAAAAACAATAAATAAGAAAACCAAAGTTTATTAAATATTTGTTTTAATTTAGTAATTCTATATAGCGTACAAACAAATAATTGATTGTTTAAATAATATATCTAGTCGAGTAGTCATACATAGTCTTTAAAATGTTACAAAAAGTAAGCAAATCATAATAACAATACTACAATAGAGTACTTTTTTATAAATGAGTAGCTACGATATAAATCAATCTTATTAGTACTATACTTGTTTATTTTAAACAATTTAGAATACTTTGTTATTTGTAGTTATTTTGAGTGTCTGTTTGTACATGTGGTTTTGGAGGCAGTTACGTTTTAATGAATGTGAACAAATCAAGGCCTCCTCGAAGTTCAGTCTGTAATGCCCTCTTGCGCACACCCTACAACTAAAGCATCTGGCGAGTCGTCGGCAACGCGATGCACTAAAAGTTGTGATATTCTACCACTTGTTAAGACTAATTATGGAGGAATTTCTGGCTAATTAAGGACACATACCTAGTTTGTATACTTTTTGGTTTATATAACGACACTCCAGACAAAATTCCTAACCCCCCAGGCCAAATAATGATAAACATATAATAATAATTATGGACATGGTTCAGTATGGAAATCTAAGAGATGTACTTGACACTACACCATTTGACACAGGTGGGACTTATCTACTTGACACTACACCATTTGACACAGATTGGAATGATCTACTTGACACTACACCATTTGACACAGATGGGACTGATCTACTTAACACTATACCATTTGACACAGATTGGACTGATCTACTTGACACTACACCATTTGACACAGATGGGACTGATCTACTTGACACTACACCATTTGACACAGATTGGACTGATCTACTTGACACTACACCATTTGACACAGATTGGACTGATCTACTTGACACTACACCATTTGACACAGATGGGACTGATCTACTTGACACTACACCATTTGACACAGATGGGACTGATCTACTTGACACTACATCATTTGACACGAATGGGACTGACCACTCAAGATACCGTGATAAACTTTCATGCACGTGTTGAGACCTTAATGAAGTTCCCCGTTAACTACACATTTTCTTTAGATCTACATCTAAGATATCACCGAAATAAATTTGTATCTGAAGCTAAACATATCACATAACCAGAGAAAAGACCAACAAAGGAGGCGGGCGCCAAAAGAATGCTTGCGGGAAAGAGAAACTAGCAATCATTTTTACTTGGCCTTAGTGTGGAAGAATACAAAAGCAGCAGTGCATGTCCCCTGAAAAGAATATCTCTTTGAATGGTTCACGCATAATGGATTCCTTGTGTATTGTAGTGAGGTAGCGATACAATCTTTATATTGAAACTCGTTTTCATAACTATTCCAGACATGACATATTTCAATATATTTCGCTTTTGTCATACAGAATAACTGGTACCCAATGACAATTATCCTATCTCTCTACCCCTTCTTCAGCCATCCAATCAGTCTTTTTTTTCTTTCTTTCTCTCTCTCTCTCTCTCTCTCTCACTCTCTCCCACTCCCAGCCGTTCTCTCTCTCTCTCTCTCTCTACCTCTCTCTCCCTCCTTCAGCCATTCGATCAGTCATTCTCTCTCCCTCCTTCAGCCATCCAATCAGTCATGTTTTTTTTCTCTGTCTCTCTCACTGTCTCCCACTCCCAGTCGTTCTCTCTCTCTCTCTCTCTACCTCTCTCTCCCTCCTTCAGCCATTCGATCAGTCATTCTCTCTCCCTCCTTCAGCCATCCAATCAGTCATGTTTTTTTTCTTTCTCTCTCTCTCTCTCTCTCACTCTCTCCCACTCCAAGCCGTTCTCTCTCTCTCTCTCTCTCTCTCTCTACCTCTCTCTCCCTCCTTCAGCCATTCGATCAGTCATTCTCTCTCCCTCCTTCAGCCATCCAATCAGTCTTTTTTTTTCTTTCTCTCTCTCTCTCTCTCTCTCTCTCACTCTCTCCCACTCCCAGCCGTTCTCTCTCTCTCTCTGTCTACCTCTCTCTCCCTCCTTCAGCCATTCGATCAGTCATTCTCTCTCCCTCCTTCAGCCATCCAATCAGTCATGTTTTTTTCTCTGTCTCTCTCTCTGTCTCCCACTCCCAGTCGTTCTCCCTCTCTCTCTCTACCTCTCTCTCCCTCCTTCAGCCATCCAATCAGTCATGTTTTGTTTTCTCTCTCTCTGTCTCCAACTCCCAGCCCTTCTCTCTCTCTACCTCTCTCTCTCCCTCCTTCAGTCATCCAATCAGTCATGTATTTTGTCTCTGCCTCTTTCTCTGTCTCCCACTCCCAGCCGTTCTCTCTCTCTCTCTCTACCTCTCTCTCCCTCCTTCAGCCATCCAATCAGTCATTTTTTTTCTCTCTCTCTGTCTCCCACTCCCAGCCTCTCTCTCTCTCTACCTCTCTCTCCCTTCTTCAGCCATCCAATCAGTCCATGTTTTTTTCTGTCTGTCTGTCTCATTGCCCTTGTCTGCCTTTCTCTCTCACTTAATATTTCAATTTACCTCTTAGTATCTCCCCCCCCCTCCTCTTACATTCTTTGAAATACTTTATCACGTAAATAACTCTCTCGCTCTCACCCACTCACTAATTTCTTTTTTCGCTCTCCCATTCGCTTATTAATTGTTTTTCTTCACTTTCTGTCTCTCAATTTTAATATCTCTTGCTGTTATTTATACCTAATAATTGAGAGGAAAAAACTCACTCTCGTTTTGCTCTCTCTCTCTCCCTATGTATATTTTCCATTGACGCACAAACTCAGTTAATCTCTCTCTCCATTCGCCCCTAGATCGAGCTTATCGTGCATAGTGCCGGCGTATTACCCACGATGTGTTATTATTCGTATTTGTTCATCGTCATTTCAATGCTATTTGAAATATTTTGATGACAATAAACGACATTGTGGTGCTATTTTTACGTACCGTCCCATGACAGTCGCATAACAGATACATTTACACCATACCCTTACCCCGCCCCCTCTCTCTCCCTCTCTCTCTCTCTCTCCCTCCCCCTCTCTCTCTATCTCTCTCTCTGTCTATCTCTCTCTCTCGCAATACGATTACAGAAATGCACATGCACCCCCCTTCTTTTGGAACTACATTTGTACGCCACTGACTTCCAACTTTATCTAGTCTATCTCAGAGAATGGGTCTTACCATTAAAAAATAAATAAACTAGAAACAAGAATGTTTAAGTAATTACTTTCATGGCTACTTTTTCTCAGGTTTTTGATTGCCTGGGTGCAGTGCATGATTTATAAGAGCCATGATTAACAGAGATATTTTCTATATGGATGTTTTTACTGTTCGTTTGCATATTGACAAAGAAATAATGTTAGGTTTACACTCTAAAAACTGAAATGTTAAATATCAACTTAAAAAGACCGAGGAGTGACCACTCTTTCAAAATGTCAGATTGTAACTTTTAACATGCTGGATTCAACTTTTATAGTGTTGGATCCAGCATGTTAAAACTGCCCCCCCTACCCCAAGCCACTTATTTACAACTTTATTTAACTTATCACAGACAAGACATACAAAACTAAAAACTAGAATATTGAAGTCAATGCTTCTAATTTTTTACCTTTTCCCAGATTTGTAATTGGCTCATTGTCTTACACATTCTATTTCCAATGTTTTCTTAATGACTTTGAGATACGCCCCTTTTCCTTCTCCTAAGTGCCACTTTTCACCTCTGGTAAGAGCCCTGTTCAAAATCTAATAGGTGCCCCTTTTAATATGAAAAGTGCCCCTTCTCATAAGTGCCCCTATTCAAATCTGATAGGTGCCACTTTTACCTTGACAAGTACCTCTTTCCTTTGCAATAAATGCCCCTTTCCTTTGTTATTGGTGCATATTTCCCAGTTTAATATGTGTGTCCCTTTACATCTCTAATGAGTGTGCCTTTTAGATTTGTCAAGTTCCCCTTTTTCTTTTTAATACATGCCCCTAACCCCTTGTTATTAGCACCCCCATTTCGGGTGCCGGAAGTGTCCATTTTCACCTCTCTGATAAATGCTCCCTTTACTTCGACACGTGCCCCTTTTTCCTTTCTGATTGGACTTTTCCCTTCTGATAAGTGCCCCATTTCCTTTTCTATCAAGTGGTTCTTTTACCAATGTGAAAAATTTCTCTTGATAAGTCACCCTTTACCTTTCTATATAACTCCCGTTTAGTAAGTGTATTTTTGTCTATATTTCCCATTGTCGCCTACAAAACGTGTGCTTTTGCTGTCATATAAAAAGAGACATATCTAGTTTCAAAGAATTGGAGCAGCTTTTTGTACTAAAATGTACTCCCTTTCTACCACCACGAAGATAGCCGAGGAGGCAGAAGGCACAAGCCCTTAAAGAACAAACTGTGCCCCTGTTCAGAACATAATCGCCCTCGTTTTCAACGCTATCAAATGTCCTTACTCTATTTAAGTCGTTTAATAAAGAAATGTGTCTTTTTTACACTAAATGTTTACCCTTTAACCTACGTTGGGATATGTTGAGGTTACCATTTGTATATAGGTTTCCTCTTCTTTTTAAAGAAAGTGCTCTTTTGTTGGTGCACCCCTAATCTGAAAGACTCTCCGCTACCCCTGTAATGCAACATCGAAATCCGACACGAATACTTATCTGTAAAGTTTATTCATGCGAGCGAGGTATTGTCAACATTTCTATTTATTTTTCTCGACCTGGTCACGTTCAACTAGACTTGTTGACGCTGTATGTTATTACTTCCTCGTAGGCTGCTTCATGTCGGTCTATTCGAAACAGGGAGTCGACTTTTGATAACTGTCATACTTACTTAACTAAAGCAGGTTACATCGCATTTGGAATGAGGAGATTTCAAAGCAAGCGAAATCGGGCACTTAAACATTTGGCTGGAATTGTGATTCGAAATACTCCTGTTTAAGTTTTCTTCGTTCTCACAAGTTATACCAGTTTGAGCCATTTATAGAACGTCCTACGCTTTGAACAGGGTTTTAGTACACGAAATATTACCACGGACAGCAACCTTAGAAATCCTAACCGATTGTGTATAGTTCATTTATTACTCAACTAAATTTACATCTAAACAACTCATCCTGTACCTAAAGTAGGCAGTAAATGACGTCATTGACCTGCACTTAAAGGCCTACTGATTGATTATACAAATACAGTGAGTATTTCATACTGTTTTCAATATGATAAATTGTGGGTAAAAGAAGTGCCCTTTTTCACCTCAATTTAGAGGGTTTTGTTATTGTTAGTCAATGTGTGTGTGTTGTGAGTGTTGGTTTGTACATTTGGTTTTGGGGAGGCGGTTGTGTTTTAATGAATGTGAGAAAACCAAAGCATAACAAATCAGAACAAAAATCTATTCTTTATGTCCATATACATGTAAAGTGGTCAAGTTTTATATCTTTGGTGGTGTTATTTTTACAAATAAGGTTGTTTGAGAATATTTATCTGCGAAAAACGGTAACAAATTATCTTGATTAAATCCGCACTCTATACCATTCGGCGCCTAACGGTAGACCTACATATGCAGTATCTCATCACATTAGCACTTGCCATATAGTTTCTATACCCTCACAAAAAAAGGACTTGACTTGAAAGAGGAGAACTACCCCAAATCCGCATCTCATCTTGAACTTTTAATTATCAGTTATCTCACCCCAAAAAACATATGTTATGATGAATTCATAACCACATATTAAAAGGTAGTACGCCCCTAAAATATGAAAAAATAAGCTGTTAATTATCACGATTAGTTTGTCAGATTCACACATAATGAAGATGCATCGTGTTCAGAATGCCTCTGCAAGACTTGTGTCCTTTGAATTTCTTAAAAATGTTCCCATATTACACCCGTTTTCATTAAGTTACATTCAGAGGCGGCGGTGCCCCACATTTAGTTAAATAACCGAAATTGCCCCTTAAACTTTGTAAGAAGAGCCCGTTTTTACATAGACAAAGTGCCCCTTTTACTTTGACAAGTGCCCCTCTAAATTTGTAAAAGTGCGCCTTCCCCTTTTCACCTCTGATAAGTGCCCCTTTTCTTTTGAAACGTGCCCCTTTTACATCGACGAGTTCCCATTTTCCTTTGCAATAAGTGTCCATTTTCCATTCTCATAAGTGCCCTTTTTAATCTCTAGTAAATGCCCCTTTGCAGGCATGATAAGTATCCCTTCACCTCTGATAATTGCCATATTCAAATCTGAGAGGTGCCTCTTTTACTTTGTAAGAAGTGCCCCTTCCCCTTTTAATAACTACCCCTTTTTAACTTGGATAAAAGACCTTATAATTTCCCAAGTGCCCCTTTTCCTAATGATAAGTACCGCCATTTAATAAAAAGAGCCCCTTCCCCTTCTAATCTCTGATAAATGACCCTTTTCAGGTACGAGAAGTCATTCCTTTTCACTTCAGATACGTGCCCCTTTCACCTCCGATGAATGCCCCTTTGAAATGTGAGCGGTGCCAATTTTTCTTTCGACTAATGCAAATTTTCCTTTATTATAAATGCCATTTTTCCATTCACATATTAAGTGCCTCTTTTCATATCTACTCATGGCCCCTATTCAGGTGTGATATATGCACCTTTTCACCTCTGATAATGTCCCTTTTAACAATGATACATGCCCATTTTTTCTTTCTAATAAGGGACCTATCCCCGTTTCATAAGTGCCCCTTTTCACCTCTTATAAATGCATCTATCAAAATTTGATGGGGCCCCCCTTTTCCGTCGACAAATACCATTTCCTGTTCTCATCAGTTTCTTTCTTAAATCCCTGGTGAGCGCCTCTTTTTGAAGGTGGAAGAAGTGCCCCATTTTAACCCTCTGATATATATTTGTTTAAACTTTGACACGTGCTCCTTCTCTTTTCTGATAAATGTCCCCTTTTCCTCTCATCAGTAAATGCGCCCCTGACTTCAAGCGACTAAGAGCAATTTCCCCTAAAGCTCGCACGCTACACAAATACTTTTTCAGACCATTACACCCGACTGCAAAGTGTGATGCTCAAGCAATATCTTGTATGGTGTATGAAATGAAACACATATTGAAATCATCCCTGATGATGTAATCACAATGTAGGGGTATACACCAATGTCTAAAAATGGTATATTTTCGCTTTGATAGAGATTTCCCTTTGTAGGTGCCCTTTTTTCTTGGAGCCCCCCCCCCTCCCCCCCCCACCCCTACTTTGTAAGTTACTAGGCCGCCCCCGGTTACATTGGTTGCCAGTAAAGCATGATATTGTATTTAGAAAAGTTTTGCTCGTTTAACTAGTTGTCTGAAATGTTATCTAAATAAACACATCCATATTGAAATAACTTACGACATGCAGTTCTAAAGTTATACCTCGATAATGCGCTGTCAGTTGTGCTGCCCCAAAGCTTTGGAACCACCTAAAACATGATATAATAAAAACCTCATCTAAAGCCGTCTTAACAATTTTGTTGATGACCCAATTTGTTCAGAAGCTTTTGAGCAATATATAATTGTAGGTCCGTAAAATGGCACTGTTGGGAGATTTTTTCCCCATCGTTGTTTTATTGTTCATCACAGCGCTGTAGAGTTTACTAGATAGTTATATGATAGATACAACGTTGTAATTGATTCCAAGGTCGTCATGTGATATCGATTACGTTGTTCGTAATTAGCATATTCGATTCATGGTAAATCTTTTCACGTGATATCTTTTTCGGTCAAATGAGTATATACGGTATTGGTTTTAAACCGTATCCAAGCAACCCTATAACCACCAGCTAAGCGGGGAAGGGAAGGGGGGGGGGGTAGTTTATTGGAGGGTTCCTGTTGCCTGGTGCGTACACAGGGGGGGGGGGGCGAACCCCCTCAATTATTTTTTGTTGGTGTGTTTTGGAGGTAACCCCCCCCCTCATTTGTTTGTATAAATGTTTTATATAAATAATAAAAATAATACAAATAATGCTAATGGGTGACCTAAAAGAAGGTGACCTTATCCCCCCCCCCCCACGGAACGAAATGTCGATCGGTCAAATTTTCAAATTTCGGGACCAAAAAATGTGTCCTCTTATGTTTTGATAAAGAGGAAACAAATAAACTTGACACTTGAAAACTTAAATACATTCACAAAATTGTAGTTTGATACGTAAAATGAACTTTGAAATATTTATCAAAATTATCAATATTATACCTTTTTTCTTAAATTTGTTTTACATCTAATCCTAAAATATCACAGAATTAATTTGTTACCAAATAACAATACAAAAAAAGAAGGTGGGCGCCCCAAAAAATGCTTGCGGGGGCGAGAAACAAGGAGTTATACGAATACGAAAGCTGCAATGTCCCCTAAAAAGAATAGCTCTTCAAATTGGTCACACACAATTGAGTTCCTTGTGCAGTGTAGTGAGGTAGCGATAACATTTTTATATTGACACTCGTTTTCATATCTATTCGAGACATGACATATTTCGATTTCTTTCGCTTTTGGCATACCTAATAACTGGAACCCAATTACAGTTTAACTATCTCTTTAATCCCTCCTTCAGCCATCCAATCATTCATTCTTTGTCTCTCTGTCTGTCTCCCGGCCCCTTTTCTCTCTCTCTCTCTCTCTCTCTCTCTCTCCTCTCTCTCTCTCTCTCTCTCTCTCTCCCTCTCTTTCACTTAATCACACTCTCTCTCTTACCCACTCACTTATTCATTTTGTTTTTGCTCTCCCTCTCGCTCATGCAATTTCTATCTCACTATATCACTATCTCTCTTTCTCAATTGATCTCTTTCTTATATTGATACCTGCTAATTCGATAAACTCGCTCCTGTTTTGGATGCAGCAGAAAAGATCTATGGGAAATGACGTCATGGCAGTGGTTGAGAATATCAGTTTTGTCGGTTAGTTTTTAAATATAGCTTTATGTCTAATGGTGCATTTTAGGGGAAAGCATTAGCAACATTTGTTGCTGAATTTAAGCAGCAATTGTTAGCCATTTGATACAACAATCAACCATGACGTGTCAATTTCCTGTTTGAAGTAGGACTCACAATTCGTTTTACAGCTGGTTCCGCTTGGTTGACTCCACTGTTCAGAGGATGTAGCAGAGAGGGAAAGAGGTGAATGACGATGTGTTATTTCTTGTATTGGTTCATCGTCTCTTCAATGCTATTTGAATACTTTGATGACAATAAACATGGTGGTACTATTCATATGCAACCGTCACCTGACAGATAAATTAATCAGTACCTGGCTTAATAATATGAAAGACAACTGAATTTGAACTCTGGGTCAAACACCCCCCTCCCCTCCTCACCCCTCTCTCTCTCTCTCTCTCTCTCTCTATCTCCCTCTCTTACTCTTCCGCAGTACGTTTGGAGGATTAGACGTGCGCTCTTTTTTCTCCCCCTAAAGGCCCGGTCACACAGCCTTTCGCGTCTGTATCGCGGGTAAAATTTCGCGATTTTTTTTTGCCCGCGGTTGCCCGTGGTGGAAAATGTGCAAAATTGGCTTACCCGCGGTTTACCCGTGGTATGCCCGCGGAACAGACGCCGGCGACTGTTCCGCGTCCTTATCGCGGCTGAAGCGCGGCGGTACCGCGGCCTACCACGCTTACACGCGGTACACACGCTAATGCACGTGATAACAACGCGGTACAGACGCGGAACAAACGTGCTATGACCGTGCTCCACCCGCGATTACCCGCTAAAATTTCGCGTCCAATTCCGCGTGTAACCACGTCTTAACCGCGGCCGTAGCACGTCCTAGCACGTTCGTTCCGCGTCTGTACCGCGTCTTTACCGCGTGTGTACCACGTGTACCGCCCGCGATTACCCGCGGTCTAAATTTTTGGGCAGCCCAAAACTTTTTCGCGCGGCCAACCGCGTGTGAATTTCTTACCGCGTGTAACGACGGGTAAAGTACGGCTGTATCGCGTCTTTATCGCGACCTCAAAGCGTCCAACAGCGTCTGCTTCACGGGCAGAAATTTTTGGCCGTGATTCGGCCGCGATACGCCCGTGGAGGGCTGTGTGACCGGGCCTTTAAGCTAGGCCACTAATTTACAACATTATCTAGCTTATTCAAGACAGTAAGTCTTACAGAAAACAAAATAATAATACAAAACCCTGGACACAATGATAAAGAAGGAAACGCTATTTATATATATCTAATAAAGCGAATGCATAATTATGTTGATTACT